CAATTACAAGCATAAATAAACACAAACAGAAAACTAGAGGAAATCCGTTTAAAAAAAAATAATATAAATGAAAGCGAAAGTACTACCAAGTTGTCGCTCTCACACACATTGATGAGGCCTTAGGGAAAAGCTTTGGCCTTTCATAAAAAAGTAAGAGAATTTTAATATTATAATTCTAGAAAAAGGCCTTAGAATCGTGAGGGAGAAGCAAACTAAAACGTCAAGGCATTCAGCAACTCCATAAGCATATAATCAACTAGTTAGAGTATGTTAACAAGAACCTCAAATAAAAGCAAAGAACACACTAAACATGGTCGAAAATGAAAATTAAATCTCACGAGTTATGCAGTAAAATTCAAACAGACCGCATTAGTTTGATGGCATGGCAATCTGTAAGAAGGCTCCAATTCAAAACTACCCCTTTCTTTGTTGCTAAACCTATATATATATACACTATCTCAAAAGAGAAAAAGGTCACGGTGTCATACACAGTAATCCAAAAATTACTTTTAAACAAAATAGGAACTCCTGACACTGATACATTAAAAAATAGGGGAATTCACATACAAAGTACCCAATTCTTATGGATTTGCCTATCTCACACCAAAACTTTCATATTTACAAACACCATATAAAAATAGCACTTATACCTTTTACTGGTCCAATCCATCTTTTCAACTATAGAAAAATTGTTGTGTGTGTAAAAATAAAAATTTAGGTGTGAGATGTTGTTGTTGTGAGATCTATAAATATACACCAGTTGATGTAGTGTATATATATATATATAAATCAAACAGGCGACGAAGCGAAAAATAGAACGAGAAAAATTCACACCATAAAACAGTAACACCACAGCGGAACACACAGATTTACGTGGTTTGGCAAATTGCCTACGTCCACGGAGTTGCAGAGGATTTTACTACCTGAGGAATTTACATCAGTCGATCACCTCAACTTACAATAGGAATCTCTCACTCTCTCTTCGTTGCTCTCTTCTTCTCTCTTTTCTTCTCTCTCTACACCGAGATACACCGAAAAAACTTTACACCGAGATACACCGAAAAAGATAAACTTACAAGAGAAATAAACTCAATTTTTCTTCAGCCACAAGCCACCAAGAAGAAGCCAAGGGAGAACAATCTTCTTTCTTTTTCTTTCACCGCAAGGAACTACTTCTTGCACCTTCCTTCCTCTATCCCGAGGAAACCCGAAGAAGAACACCGTGACTTGTAAAACTGAAAGAGAGTCGTCTGAAGCCTTTTATCACGAACAGGAGGGAGCGAAGAGATGCTACGCTTCACAACATAGGAAGGCGAGAGCGGTTAGAGCGCAACTAAAGAGGCGGGAGGCGCGAACGAGAGATCGCGACCTTTCGCGATCAGAGAAGAGCCGTTTCGCAAAACATATGAGGCGGGATCCTGTAGCGGGAGGCGGGAGCGGGAGAAATTGGAGCGGGAGCGGGAAAAATTGGGCTCCAACGCTTAACAATCTCCCACTTGGAGACCGATACACCTGTTACAACATTTTCTTCTTCAAATTGATATCCTCCATTGGCATTGTCGCCCTTTTCTTCAAACATGAATCTTCCACCATGAATCCTCCAACTTGAATCCTCTACCTTGAATCCTCCGCCTCTGCAATTTAAAGCTCTGTCTTCACTCCAGAAGACCAACTGAAGTTGCGCACAATTTCGATTTCTCAAAAGTAACACCCTTAGTCAACATATCAGCAGAGTCCAAATAGACTTGCACCTCCAAACAATTTCCTGATTTACTCTTTTCTCTGCTTAGAACTCTCACTGCATGGGCAATATCCTGCCTCAGCTGAAAGCCTTTTCCAACAAGTCTAACATTGTACCTTTTACTGTCATCAAGCTCGATCTTCACCTGGTACACCCACTTTTTCTGTAATGTCATCTTTCCTGGTGGAAGTTCTGTCAGCTCTCACTTGCTCGAACTTTAATCTTGCAAGATTTCTTCTTTCTTCATAGCTCTTTGAATAGCTCTTTGATTCTCCATCATCTGTCTGTGAAACAATAAGAATGGGTGTCCCGGACCCACTATTCTCTTCACTTCCATTATCAACAGAACTATAAATTGTCAGCAATAGTGCATCATGTGCTTCTTCAGATACCACATTTGCGCTATCACTCTCCATCTTCTTGGGATTACTGCAGTTCCTCTTTATGCAGCCAGTCTTGCAACAATTCTAGCAGATTGTCTGCTGACCAGACTTTAATTTTGATCTCCCTTTATATGTGAGTTCTTGTCATGTCAAGTTCTTGTCATGTCATCTCTCTCTAAAATCAACATTCAGTGTCAAACTCGTACCTGAGATCTCGCCAGATTCTTTTATGCGAACTTCCTCAATGAAAATCAAATCACAAATATCATCGCATTTCAGTTTAGATTTACTTGCAGAACTGCTAACTGTCATCTTCATGATTTCTTAACTATTTGGCAATGATGCCAATAATATCACCGCACGTATCTCATCATCAAAATCAATTTCAAGAGACGACAATTGATTCGTTATACTACTGAAACCATTCAGATTTTGAGCAACAGAAACACCTTCCGCCATCTTCAAGTTGAGTAACTTCTTCATCAAGTACACATTTTTATTCGCCGATGGTTTTTCATCATCAAAATCAATTCCAACAGACGACAATTGATTCGTTATACTATTAAAACCATTCAGATTTTGAGCAACAGAAACACCTTCCGCCATCTTCAAGTTGAGTAACTTCTTCATCAAGTACACATTTTTATTCGCCGATGGTTTTTCATATATACCTGATAAGACTGTCATGAGATATACAGTCGTCCTCTCCTTAAAGACGCTGTGTGCAACGGACCTCGATAGGATCAATCGAATAACCCCCAGAACTTATTGATCCAACAAATTTCATTCAGCCTCATCAATATTTTCAGGTCTTTACCCCAATAACGGAATATGAATTTTTTTCCCATAAAGATAATTCTCTATCTGCATTCTCCAGTAATCAAAATCTGTGTAATCAAACTTCTCGATTCCTGAAACTTTCACTTTATCTGCAGCCATCATTCTTCCTCAGATTCGAACAAAGCTTTGATATCAGTTGTTGTTGTTGTGAGATCTATAGATATACACAAGTTGACGTGATATATATATAAATTAAACAGTAGAACGATCGACGAAGCGAAAAATAGAACGAGAAAAAATTCACAACAGAAAACAATAACGCCACAACGGAACACACAGATTTACGTGATTCGACAATTTGCCTACGCCCACAGAGTTGCAGAGGATTTTATTACTTGAGGAATTTACACCATTCGATCACCTCGACTTACAAGAAGAATCTCTCACTCTCACTTCGTTGCTCTCTTCTTCTGTCTCTACACCGAGATGCACCGAAGAAACTCTACACCAAGATATACCGAAAAAGATAAACTTACAAGAGAAATAAACATAATTTCTCTTCAGCCACAAGCCACTAAGAAGAAGCCAAGGGAGAACAATCTTCTTCTTTCTTCTTCCTTCACCGTAAGGAACTACTTCTTGCACATTCCTTCCTCTATCCCAAGGAAACCCGAAGAACACCATGACTTGTAAAGCTGAAGGAGAGTTGTCCAAAGCGTTCTATCACGAACAGGAGGGAGCGAAGGAATGCTACGCTTCACAACATAGGAAGGCGGGAACGGTTGGCGTGCGACTGAAGAGACAGGAGGCGCGAACAAGATATCACGACCTTCGGAAGAGTCATTTCGCAAAACATATGAGGCGGGATTCTGTAGCGGGAAGCAGGAAAAATCGAGCTCCAACGCTTAACATGAGATGCGCAAATTCATAAGAATTGTGTGCGCATGTAATTTTCCCTAAAAAGAATTCAAAATCACACTTTTATGAAAGGCTAAGCTATTGCCAAGAACATTCTTTGTGATTGTAGATTGCATGCATGCAACACAAGCAAATCCTTCTCATGCTCATTCACTTTATATTGCTCCCAAATATGGAATATTGATTTTTTGAGGCAAATGCAGGAGCGGCTTCTTTTTTGAGGGGGGCCAATGTGGAGAAGGGCTAAAACAACGAAGGGCGATGTGATATTTCAGAAGGGGTAAAATTGATATTTCAATAAAGACAATATCAAATTGCCCTCCCATATAAGTAAAAAATCTAAATTGAAGGGTGGCAATTCTAGACCCTACCTGAGTCCACCCCTGCATTTACATACCAGCTAATTTTTATATATTTACATATCTAACACCTAAACTTTCCTTTCTACATTTATACTACCCAATCTTTCAAATCACATAAAAAATACCATAGTTTTAACATTTAAGAAATGAGATACACCTTTCCATGCATACGTAAATGGGTATGTATGTAAAAATTGAAGTTTAGCTGTTAGATATGTAAATACATGGGAATTCAATGACCTGTAGGTAAAATCTTCTTTTTTTTTTTCATGGCCCTAAAAAGCATGGTATGTTTTCATGGACCCTGGAAGAACTAAAACGGAAAATCACATAAATGCTTTTGGAGATGTGGTTTATAAAACTGCAGGAACGAAAAAAAATATTAATTTAACAGGATTGTTGCAGTGATTAATGGATTCACCAACCAATATAAACAGTGAGAAACCAGTAGAAGTGAACCCTCTGCCAAACAAACATTAGAAGTGGCGGAACGTGCTTTATTTGCACCATTCCAAGATTATTTAAAATATAAGACATTATACAATGCAACAAAAGATAAATGTATAAAATTTGTCTCCTAAACCAATTAATATAATTTCATATCGAGCAGCATTGAATAACAAATTTAAAAATAGGAACAAGAAAACAGAGTTAAGCGACTACAAAAGCTATCATTGAATTAAACATCAAATCCTCAATAATAATTAAATTGCTTGGAAGGTATCGTCTCGAACAAGATGAAACAGCAGCAACTAATTGAGAAGATAGAATAGCATAGAACCAAAAAAAAAAAAAAACAA